GCGGCTGGCCGAGCAAGCGGCGTGGCGGCTGTGGGACCAGCACAGGGACCGGCTCGACCTGGTGGTGGTCAACCCGAGCTTCGTCGTGGGTCCGCCCCAGTCGGCCAGCCTCAACGCAAGCCTGGAGACCGTGGTGAACTATCTCCTGGGCCGAGCGAAGAAAGCCACGCCCGGTCGGCTGCCGTTCGTGGATGTGCGCGACGTGGCGTTGGCACACGTCATCGCCATGGAACAAGATGGTGCCATCGGCCACAGGTGTGTAACAAGCTCTTCGCTTCAGTCGCAACTGTGTGTTGTGGTTTTACTCACCACCAGAGTGTGATTGATGTTGTTCAGAGTGTTTTGCGCGAGTGAGACGAGGCCGTGGAGGGACCTTGCGATCAAGCTGAAGGAGCTCTTCCCAGAGTATCCTAACGTGGAGGACTTGGATGTGGACACTGGCATCGAGACCCAGATGGACACCTCTCTCCTCCAGGTGCGCGCCTAAAGCGAAAGCGAGAGTGAGCTCAGCTCAAGCCGAAGACTGACATGGCCTTTCTTTTCAAATGGTTGCTGCAGGGTCTGGGCCTGTCCGAGTTCATTTCTTTCGACCAAATGTTGAAGGACACGGTGGAACAGATGATCAAGTTGGGTGTGGTGGAGAATTTGAAGCAAACAAATGAATGATTGCTTGTTGATTGATGGGTTTGTTTATGATGGTTGTTTGGGGCTTGGCCATGGTGTGCTCTTTTCAGAAGATGAACCGCTTCTGGCCGCCGCTGATCTCGTCCACTTCGGCGTCAAACACCGAATCCTCCGTTTCCGTCGCACCTGACACCCGGTGCCGCACGAGCCCGCCGTGGCTCAAGGCCTCGCCGTCGCCTTCCAACACCGGCGACGATCGCTCTTCGCCCTCGTCTTCCGCCTCTCGGTTCGTGAGGTCCGTAGCCCGGTCGTCGGCCATCGACACCTCCTCTTCCACCTCCATTGCGTCGCCCTTCTTCGCCTCTTCCTCCACCTGCTCGCCTTCTTCTCCTTCTTCTCCTTCATCGCTTCTCTCTTTTTCTTCGTTCTTTGCTTCGTGTTCGCTTTCTCCGTCGTCTTCGTTTTCGTCGTGGAGTGGTTCGGCGGTCGCGGGCGGGCGCGGCGACGACGGGTTCGAGACCCGGGCCGGGAGCGGTAGGCCGTCTACGACGCTCAACAGCACCAGCGGTCCCGTCTCCCCGTTGCCCTCCTCCTCCTCCTCCGCCTTCACCTCCGGCTCCTGCTCCATCTCCTCCTTCGCTTCGTCGTCCTGGTCTTCCTCTTGCTCGATGGGCGCCTGCTCGCCCGCATCGTCGCCGCCTTGCTCGTCGTCGTCACTGCTGTTGCGTTCTTCCTTGACAGGAACCGCTTCACCGTCGCCTGCCTCCTCCTCCTCCTCTTTGTCTTCGTCTCCTTCATCGTCGAGCTTGTTCTCCACCTCGATGCGGCCCACTTCGTCCTTATTCTCGCCTTCGCCTTCGCCTTCGCCGTCGCCTTCGCCTTCGCCATCCTCTTCTTCACCATCGTCGCTCGCCATGATCCTTCGCACCTTCCGCTCTGGTCTCCGCCGCCCTTCGTCTACCGCCTCCGCCTCCTCTTCCTCCTCCATACTGTCATCGTCGTCGCCGTCGTGTGGCTCGTGTTGGGTGATGTCCAGCGAGACGTCCAACAGCGGACGCTTCTTCGTGGGCTCCTCTTCCTTCTCCTCCTCTTCCTTCTCTTCCTCTTCCTTCTCCTCTTCTTCGTTCGCTTCCTTTTCCTCTTCGCCTTCGTCCCGCTTGATGTCGGCGATGCTCACATCCTCCTCTTCTGGCTCTTCGGCTGCCTGCGGCACCTCCGTTGCGTCGTCGCGTTGTTCCTCTTCGCGGTCGCCCCCTTGTCGGCTCTCGTCGCCATCGTCGTTGTCGAGAAGGAACGAGTCGTCGCCTCCTCGCCTCACCACGCGCCACTCATCGCCTTCGCCTTCTTCTTCGCCTTCTTTCTCCTCTGCCTTTAGGCTGTCTTCCGTCGACGCCTTCATTTCTTCTTCCTCCTTCGCTTCTTCTTCTTCATTCTTTTCCACTTCTTCCTCTTCTTCATTCTTTTCTTCCACTTCTTCTCTCCCCTTCTCTTCGTTCTCTTCTTCTTCTTCTTCTTCTTCTTCGTCTTTTTCTCTTTCGCCTTCGCTGTCGGACAGCACCACGACGGCGACCACTTGTCGCTTTCGCTCTTCGCCTTCGCTCTTTTTCATCTTTTCCGCCTCCGCTTCTTCCTCTTCTCGCTGCTTCGCGAGCTCCATGGCCCGCTGTCGCTCGCGCTTCTCGGCCTGCTGTTGCTGCCACCGGGCGCGCTTGAGCCGCAGCAGCCGCGCGTCCCGGTCCTCCTCGAAGTCGCGGTCCACCACCGCCTCGCCCTCCTCCTCCGCCCCCTCCCTCCTCGCTTCGTTTTCGCTTTCGCTCTTACTTTCGTTTTCGCTCTCTCCTTCGCTTCGCCACCCGCGCTTCCGCTTTCTGGTGGCCGCCGCCGGCGTGCGCTCCTCTGCCACGCTCGACTCCACCGCCTCCCACGCCCTCGCCCTCTCCCTAATTTCCACTTCTTCTTCCTCCGCTTCTGACTTCTTCTTCTCTTCTGGTGGCTCTTCGACGTCCATACTCACCGACGTCTCCGCCTCCTTCTCTTCTTCGTTCTCTTCTTCTTCTCTCTTTTCCTCGTCTTCGTTCTCCTTCATTTCTTCTTCCTCCTCCTTCTCTTCTTCTTCCTCTTCGCTCTTTGCCACGTGCGGCACCTCGAGTTCGGATCTCGACACCTCTTCGTCGGCCCGGTCGATCGACATCGACCCATCCACCGATTCGTCGTGGTCGTCAATGTGGATCACCACCGGTTCGGCTTCGTGTTCTTCCTCCTCTTTCTCTTCACTTCTTTCTTCTTTTTCCGCCTTCGCTTTCGCGGCCGCCTCGGCTTCGATCCGCGCCTTCTCCCGAGCCTTGGCCTCGGCCTTCTCACGTCGCTTTCGCTCTTTCTTCTCTTGCTTCTCCTTCTTCTCTCTTTTCTTCTCTCGCTTTCGCTCTTTCTCCTCCTGTTGGTATCGCTCCTCCTCGCGCTCGCGCTCCGATCGCTCCCTCTCGCGCCGCTCCTCCGCCGCCGCGGCCGCCCGCTCGGCCTTGCGCTCGCGCTTCCGCCGTTCGATCCGCTCGCGCTCGCTCTTCTCCTCCTCCAGCCGCTTGGCCTCCCGCCTCGCCTGTCTCTCAGCATCGTCATCAGCACCGGCGCCGCCATCGTCACCATCACCACCGGCCTCGGCCTCAGCCTCGGTGCTGACATGTGATGACGTGGCATCGTCAGAGCCGGAGCGGCCGCCGGCCGGGGCGGGCGGGTGGTGGCCGCGGCCCAGGATGGCCTGCAGGTTGGTGCCGAGCCGGTGGGTGTCGATCCATCTGAGCCACTTGCCCCAGTGCTCGTCGGACTGCAGCGTACGTCGGTTGCCCACGACGAGCAGCCCGCGCCTGGCCCGCGTCAGCGCCACATTAAGCCTGACGAAGAAGCACAAGAAAAAAGGTGGTCAACGCGGGTCAGACAGCAGTCAACGACGGTCAAAGACACTGCCAAGTCAACTGAGAGTCAGTACCGGCGCCAGTCGCGCAGGAAGCCGACGTCGCCGCGGGAGTTGCTGCGCACGGCGGTGAAGATGATGACCTCCTTCTCACGGCCCTGGTAGCCGTCCACCGAGTTGATGTTGAGCTTGTGCCACTTTTCATTTTTGTTCATCCCTGCGGCAAAGAAGATGACGTCAGCGTGTGCGGCCGTGTGCGTGTGCGGTAATCAGTGATGCGTGTGTGCATTGGTACCACCGCGCCTGGAGAAGAGGTCGGCGAGGTGCTTGACTTGGCCGTTGTAGGGCGTGATGACTCCGATGTCCTTCACGTCGCCGACGTCCGACCGCTGGTCGAACGCCGACACCAGCTGGAACACGGCCTCGCCCTCAGCCGAGTTGAACCACGAATAGCCGTCCGTACTAAAATGCACACAGCAATTCAGTATATAGACACACGCCACACACGACACGACACGACCAACGAAACGACACACACGCATACCTTTGTTTCTCATAGCCGTCGACATTGACGAAGGCGATGGGGTTGCCTTCGCTGGGCCACGCGATGCCGGTGGGCGACGGGCGCTGGGCGGCCACGATGCCGTCCTTGATCTTGCCGCCGTAGAAGTGGACGCTTGGGAACTCGGAGATGATGGGGTGCATCCGGTATTGGATCTCCAGCATGTATGGCTCGATACCCATCGCGATCATACGCGCAAACAAGCTCTCCGACAGACCGCCTGCATCGTGCGTCATGTATCATGTGCGTGTGTCGTGTGTGTCGTGTGTGTCGTGTGTGTCGTGTGTGTCGTGTGTGTCGTGTGTGTCGTGTGTGTCGTGTGTGTCGTGTGTGTCGTGTGTGTCGTGTGTGTCGTGTGTGTCGTGAGCACTGTGGCGATGGAGTGTGGAAAGAGGGTAGCTAACCCTGCTGCGCTTCGGGCGAAGTGACTGTGGGCGGGAGCTGGTAGTGGTCGCCCAAAAGTACGACGTGCTGCGAGTTGTGCACCAGCGCACACAGCGAGGCCGGTTCGGTGGCTTGCGTCGATTCTGCCATCAACCAAACGTTTAGTTGCTGAGTATTGCGAACGCTCACACGTAAAAGTGTGTGTGGTGGTGGTGGTGGTGGTGGTGGTGGTGGTGGTGGTGGTGGTGGTGGTGGTGGTGGTGGTGGTGGTGGGTTAGCGCACCATCAAGAATGACGATAGGGAAGGCACGTGAAGCGAGTAGGTCGTGACCAGCCCCGATGCACGTGGCACAGATCACATCGGCCTTGCCTGAATACACATATCGTGTTGCGCCGTCAGTCACCAACCATCATCAGCTCGCAGGCACAACGAATGGGTCATGGAAGACTTGGTACCGAGCACGTCGTTGTGAATATAGTCTTCGAGTCGCCGGATGTTCTGGTGCAGCGTCACACCCTCACGCTTTGCCGCCGCCCTGAACCAAAGAGACAACAGAAAAACTCGAGTTCGTGCACTACGCAACGCACACGACACACGACACACACGACACACAACATAGGCACGGTACCGTTCCTCGGGGGTCTTGCCGTGGGACAGACCGGCGAGCTCCTGGCGCAGGGCGTCGAGCTTGTTGTTGGCGGCGTGCTCTTGCATGAGAGCCTCGAGCGACAGGTCGCGCAGTTCCTCCCGGATCTTGACCGGCCGACCCACGCGCACCGCGCGCACGCCCGAGTCGGCCAGGCCCTCGAGCAGGTTGTCAACAGCGACGTTGGTGTCGGCCGTACACAGAATGGGCGCATGTCCGCGGCACAGGTGGACGAGCAGCTTCATCAAGTGAATAGCCAGCGTCGTTTTGCCTATGAACACACGATACACGACACGATACACACACGACACACGACACACGACACACGACACACGACGCGCCTAAGAATGGTGCAATTAGATTGGGGGTTGCGCGAAAAATAGTGGTACCGGTGCCGGGAGGGCCTTGGACGAGGGTGAGCTTGCGAGTGAGGATGGTGGTGATCACCTTCCGCTGGCTCTCGTTGAGCTTCCAGGCATCAAAATTCTTGGGAAAATTCTTGCGCGCGTACCGATCCGCCAATTCCTGAGGCGAGACACGAACAATAAGCGTGTGCGGTGGTGCTTGTGCGGTGGTGCGTGTGCGGTGGTGCGATGACGTGCGCTCATACCTTGGGCGGAGGCTGGGCAGCCCACGCCTTGGGGTCCTTGACGTTTCCCACAATCAGGTCCCGCAGCACTGTGCCGCCGGGGATGGGTTTCACTGAGTTTGCCAAGCAACACATGATGGAGTGTCAGTCGAAGCGGCACAAATGGTGCAACCCAAGCGTACACCGACACACACGACGCACGACGAGGGAAGGCCTACCGGTATCGGGCAGTTCAATATTGCGATTGCTGGTGAACTTGTTCAGCGCGTCAATCATGCGGTCGTGCGACACCCTGTTGGCGCCCTTGTCCAGGCGCTGTGTGTCCACCACCACCAGGGATGAGCTCACAACCCAGATTGCCCCCCAAGGCAGCACTGCATGTTGCGGTGATGAGGGGGTTGAGTGGTGAGTACCCAGGTGCCTTCAGACACGTTGGGCGGGTAGTCCTTGACGACCACCTGCAGCCGCGACTTGCTCTTGTCCAGCACCACGCCCTCCATCGGCTTCTCGCTCAGCGGATCCGTCCGCGTCATGAGTACCTGTCATAAGACACACACAACGCACACGACGCACACGACACGCACGACACGCACGACACGCACGACACGCACGACACACATAACAACATACGACCGCATGAGGAATGCAGAAGAATGACGGGCGTGGTGTGTGACAGGGCATACATACCATGTCACCGTGCGCGAAGCGGTGGTAGGGCATAAAATCGGATCCGGCGGGTGCGAACTGGAGGATCTCCTCGCGGAAGAGATGGCCCACCGGACGGGCGCAGAGATTGAAGATGGTCTGACCCTCCTTCTCCAGCCTTGCCTTGGACCACTTCGTGAGCCTTCACAGGTACACACGATACAACACGACCAACGACACGACACGACACGACACACATGAAATGCCACACGTGCACGGTAAGTACAGTGCTTTGGATGATGACAAAGAGTGCGGGTTTGTAGTCGTACTTTTCTTCCACGCCTCGCAACTCCTCTCCGATCTCAAGACACAACAGTTTCGTGTATTTCTCCAGATACGCCTGCATTGTGTGCGCGTGCGGTGGTGTGTGTGTCGTGCGTGTCGTGCGTGCTTCTTTCAGCTAAGAGCACGAAAGAGTTATCAATCAGGATCAAGGGCGGGTGGAGCACCTTTTGCAGCTTGACCAGGGCACTGCTGACGATCGGTGGCGGACCAGCCGCCGACGAGGCCGAGCGCGGCTCGTTGCCGCTGCCGGTCCGCGGTCGCCCGCTGCCCGAGCCCGCCAGGTTCTCGAACAGACGCGAGAACGAAGACGCCGCCGATCCGCCGCTGCCGCGTCCGCCTCCGCGCGGCATCGACGTTGCGCTGAGGCTCCGCTTGCGCCGCGGGCGCTGCAAGCGCGCGAGCTCGGCTGCTGACGCCGTCTGCGTTGATGACGCCACCGGTGGTGCTTGCGCAGATGAAGTGGATGAAGATGAAGAAGATGGTGGCAGAGTAAGGCCGCCCTCCCTGCTGTTGGTGCGGCCGAAGCGTTCGGGGTGTGCCGTCATGATGCCCCATGCCTCCCCGCGACCCCTCCCGCCACCACGGCTATGTTGTGGTCTGCCTTCATCTCTATCTCCGGAGCGTGCATCGAAATCTCGCGATTGGGCTGGAGGGCCACCACCACGGGCTCGCCCGCCTCCTCGGCCTCCTCCTCGTACTCCACCCCGCCCTCGATCTCCCCCTCGCACGTTCGACATGTCCTCCGTTCTACACCAAATCGATTTTGAACGATTAAAAAAGAAAAAAGCGAATATTGAATGACCCACTTGAGGCGCACGTACCAGCTGGGTGGTCAACTGCCCCTCACGGCAAGCCTTTAACGCGCTCCTCCAAGGCAATACTAGAACGAGAATCAGAAGAATGAAGTCACTTGATTTTCCCAATTAATGTTGGCCTGGGCAATTTCTTACTTTTTTCCTCATTAAAAATTGTCCAAGAAACAGAGAAAAGGTCAGAGAATTGTGTGATAAGGAGAAGGAGACCATCAGAAGAAGTGGTCATGTTTCATTCATTTGTCCAGCTTCTCCTTGCCTTTGCTTCTGCTATCCTCCTCTTCTTCGTCCTCGTTGGTGTCGTCACCATCGTTCCTAAGGCGGTGGTGGCCCAGCGGCTCAGCCCTCCCCTCGCCGTCATCGTCTGCTTCCGCACCAGTCGCGTCACCACTGCCCGCTGCGGCCGCTGCCGGCTCGTCATCATCAGCAGCGGTCCGGATGGGAATGCCCACGGACCGCAGGAACGCGATCCACTCCCAGCCCGTCGTGTCGGTCGGGTCAACACCAACCTCACTCACTGGGCCATGGCCGTCCACCCGGCACTGCCCGGGATCGGCGCCCCCTGGGTAATGTACCAGTGGTCGGTGGTTCAGTTCGCATTAACAAAATAATGATGAGAATAACGATAGTAATAATTAACAAAGCAGAACAAAGCATATCAACAACGTACTCTCAATGAGGGCAACGACGGTTTGTCTCATTCGTTGGAAATGCGTTGCGTCGTAGGGCCAATTGTGGTTGACGGCCCGATACAAGAATGTCTCGCCCCGCTCGTTCCTTGCGTTGATATCGGCGCCGCGCGACAACTGCGATTGCATTGGAGAATAGCTCTATCTTAGTTATGGCATGGAGCCTCCCTGCTCCTTGACGCCAGGCAATGCATCTAGGAGATTACGCACCAGGAAATCAAAGGTCTCGTCGGGATCGCAGGGCAGATAGAACAAGGCCTGACTTTGGTTGTAGCCCGCCAAGCGATTCACATCGGCTCCTCTCTGTATTCCATATTTATTTATTGATTGATTTATTTGTTATTCGCGAGCACCAAAATGCACCGTGTAATAATAATAATAATAATAAAACAAATAATAATAAAATGTAAAGGTACCTCGAGAAGAAGTTCGACTACACGCCGCCTGTCGGCATCGCTGTAATGGTAGGAATGGCCACCCAGGGCCATGTGCAACGGCAGGTTTGGCGTTGTGCCGGTGACGCTGGCGTTGGGGTCGACGCCCCAGTCCAGCAGGGCCAACACCAGATCGTAGTGGTGCGCTTTGGCTGCTGCCGTGAGCAAGGGGGTACCGATTCCTACAGAGAGAGGTGGCGTTATGTGATGATGGTGACACGAGCATGCGGAGGGGGGGGAGGGATTGTCATCGCGTACGCGGGTCTTTTATGTCGATGCCACGCTCCACAAACAGGTTGACGAGATCACGATCGTAGCTTGACTGGTAGTACGAACGGGCGATGAGGCGTTCCAGGCCCTGTACACATGAAAGCGCGTAAACAAAATCTGGCACAGCACAGCATAGGAAAAGGCGCCGGCGTTGGGACGAACCAAGACCGGATCCTTGGAGTGGGCATCAGCTCCTGCATCAATCAGACGCTTGCACATCGCCACCAGCTCGGCTGAACACTCATTCTAGATCATGAGGAATTTCAGAGCCTGCCGCGTCGTGCCACCGTGTGTCGTGTGTGGCGTGTGGTGTGTGTGTATGTGCTGCGTGTCACATGAATCCAAGTGATCAAGTGGCGTACGGTGATGGCGTAGTGGAGCACGCCTTGGCCCTCCTCATCGACGGCCTTGGCGTCGGCTCCGCGCGCGAGAAGGAATTCGATGAATCCCGCATTCTTGGGCACCGCGCGCGCCGCAAAGTGAAGCGGGATGCGGCCGGCGGCGTCCGTCAGATTGATGTCGAGGCCCAGCTCGATAAACAGGGACACGAGGGCCTCAGAGCGGTTAGAGGCCGCCAGGTGCAGCGGCGAGGCTGGCACCTGCCGAACATAACACCCAACCGAAGACGGCGCACGTCAGCGGGCGTGTGTGGTGAGTGAGATTGACGACGGCGAAGTGGCTCACCTTCTTGGACTTGGCCTCGGCCGCGGTGAACAGGATCTGAGCGCCGTGCTCCACCAGCATGCGCACGGCCGGCACGCACCCGGCCAGCGTGGCCAGGTGCAGCGCCGTTTGCTTCGACCCGTTCAATGCGTTCTTCTCTGTAGGAAGTGCACACACAACACAAACATCGACATATAAGCACCAAATAAAGATAATAAATAAAAATAAATAAATAAAAGGATAATAAAGGCCGGTACCGGCGCCTTGTTTGAGGAGAAAAGCCACCATCGCGCAATGCCCGTTTTCCGCCGCAAAGTGGAGCGCCGTATTGCCGGTCCGCGACTCCACCGCGTTGATCAGCTCCCGCGCCTTCTCCGGCCCGCCGGCCTTCTCCATGAGCACCTCCATGATCTGTCATTGCGCAGAATTAAACACAATAAATAATAATAAATACAAATACAAATAAATAAAATGAATAAATCAACAAATAATGAAGTAGTGGCCGTGGTGGTGGGTCCCAACCTTGATGTGGCCTCCGGCGGCGGCTTGGAACGAGAGCGGCCGCATGCCCTTTCTTGTTCCCACCTTCTGCTGGGCCTGGATCAGCTGCGTGAAGTCGCTGCCGCCGGCGCCGTGGCGCAGCAACACCTCGACAACGTCGAGGAATCCCTTGGCCGCGGCGACGCCCACCGGCGTCTGCCCTCGGATGTTGGCCACGTTGAGGTCGGCGCCGGCGAGCGCGAGGAGATCGACCACCTCGGCGCAGCCCACCGAGGCGGCCAGGTGCACCGGACGCGCGGAGCCGTCGTCGGAGTACTGGAACTTGCTCTCGTCGGTGTTGGGCGGCCGCTTGCCGTTGAGCAGGTCGAGCGTCATGTGGGCCGCCTCCTTCGTGAGCAGCTCGCGCAGCACGCGGTCGTGACCGCACGCAGCACACCACCTGTTCAGAGCACGACACACAACACACAACACACAACACACAACGCCGATTGGTTGTGGGTTGTGGAGGCTAGCGGAGAATGGGCCGCACGCACCTGAGGGTATCCCGCAGCCGGGCTTCGCCCTTGAGGGCCTGCAGGCGACGAAGCGAGATGGCCGCCTTCACGCATCGCTCCCGCCACTTCTCTGTTGTCCACCCGTGAACGGGAAGGGAATAATAAATAAATAAAACAATTTGTATTTATTTTATTTTATTTTATTTGTAATTTCGTTCTGTTTGGGTTTTCTTGTTTTCAATTCAGTGAAAGGCGACGGAGTCGAGTGGTGGGTGGGGGGGAGGGAGTGCCTTTGGCAGTGGTGGAGGGGCGGGAGCTGAAGTGGCGCCGGAAGACGGCTTCCCACACGAAGGGCGACTCGCACGCGGAGCGCCACGCGCGGCACACGCCCTCGGCTCTTGCCACGCTGGCGGGGTCGGCCATGCCCATGATGTGCTGCATGACCTCCAGCGGAAGCACCTCGTGCAGTGCTAGCAACTCTTCCCCCTCCTCCTCTCCCCGTCCATCCTCTTCGGCCACGTCTTGCTTCATCTCCATCACGACAAAGAAAACAAAAATGAAAATGAAAATAAAATAAATAATTTTATCACAAGTTTGAAGTTAAAGAGAAAAGAAAAATAAATTAGCAGTAGGAAGTGGTGGGTGGTGGCTTGGCGGGGGAGGAGGAGTGATCAGCGGCCGTTCGTTGCTGGTGTCGCTCGATCGCCGTCAGCGACCAGTAGTGCTGCTGTTCCGTGATGCGCCTATCGAGAAAGAAACGTTCAGCCGACGACATCAACACAAACAGGCGGAAGGCGGGAGTTGTACCTCTTCTCCACGCGGCTGATGAAGAAGCCCTGCAGAATGACGGTCTCGCTGTTGGCCGCGCTCCGCGCCTTGAACTGACACAGCACCGTCTTCTCGTCCACCAGCACACACTCAATATAAAACCTACACATTTACAACAATTAGTAAATAAATCAATAACATTATCATTATCATTATTTCATTATTATATAAACTATAAAAGAAAATGAAATTAGGGTACGTACGCGATGCCTGGGTAGGTCTTGTGGATGAGGGAGACGAGGTCCTGGACGCCCTCGTGCCCGGCGCCGCGCTGGAAGCTGCCCTTGCCCCCGCCGCCGCCCGCACCGCCCGACAGCACACAATCCGGGCTGAACAGTGCCTTGACGCCTACGCTCCAATCGGTCAGCCGCGTGCGTGTGCGTGTGCGGTGGTGCGTGTGCGTGTGCGATGGTGTGTGTGCGTGTGCGGTCGTGCGTGTTAATGTGTGTGTCGTGTGCCTACGTACGAGAGTAGTCGGCCTTGTTGAGGATCTCGTCGATGAACTGCGCCACTACTTTGATCTTCTTCTGGTTCTTCTTGGAGTCGAGATAGGTGTAGATGTCCCATATCTTTTTGTTCTTCTTCGTCGGCGCTGGCGCCGGCGCGCCCGCGCCCGGGGCGACGATGACGGGCTGCGGAGCCGGCGGCGCGACCAGGTCGACGTCGAGCTTGCGCCCGGGGTACGGAATGAAGCATTCCATTCGTGCCGGGTAGACCAGCTTCTTCTTGATGCCCTTCTCGACGGCCGCTGAGATGACCTGCTGGAAGTGGGGCAGCCAGTCGAGGCGCAGCGCGCGCCCGATGTGGACCTGCACGTCCAGGCGGATCGTCGGGCGCGACTTGAAGCACACAAAGATCGGCGTCTGCAGCTCCTCGCCCGCGTAAATGCACAACTGCCGTGTGCGTGTGCGTGTGCGGTTGTGCGTGTGCGTGTGCGTGTTAGACGCATTGATGTCGACAACGCGGCTGCTGCGGGCGAGGTACGGACCTGGCCCTGCACGGAGAGGACCTCCACGCGGATGCGGATGGGGATGGTGGGGGCATAGGACGTGAGGCCCGTCACGATGGCCGTCTCCAGCGTGAAGTTCATCCCATTGCCGCCGTAGTCGATATCCATCTCCAGCAGCTGCACCACCACCACCACCGCGTTCAACACAGTGTCGAAAAAAATGAGAATGAGAAGGGGCACGGGCGGTGGTACGAATTGGTGGCCAGGTGCGTGAAGCGGGCGCCCTTGCCCACGGCGGGCATGGGGCCGCCCATGTTCATCTCCATCCGCAGAGGCGCCTGGGAATGGGGACAGAACACGATGGTGAGTGATGGTGTGAAGTGGTGGTAACGGGGGGGGGAAATGGCATTGGGCGGTGGGAGAGTACAAGAAATCGGGGCAGGGCAACGGGTGCGAGCTTGCGCTGCACCTTGGCCAATACGAAGTTTTTGAAGGGCACCGACACGCGCATTTCCTATACGGCGCACGCATGAGCGGCGACACACACGACACGACACGACACGACACGCATACACACACACACACAGCTGATGGTAAGGTACCTCGAACACACGACGGACCATCAGATTGGCGTAGCCGAGGAAGTCATCGTCGATCTTCTCCTCCTTCCCGCCGAACGCGTCCAGCCCCACCAACTCCTCCCTGGCCTGTCGTGTCGTGTGGGTCATACGTTTCGAGGGCCTCTTTCAAGCGATGAACAGCGCAACGAGAACGAATGAAGTGTCCGCACCAGCTGGAGCGTGATCTCGTCGCGGATGGCGGTCGTCCACCGGGTGAGGAGCCGGTGGTTCTTTGCTCGCAGGCGGCAGCGGTCGAGGGCCGGAATGTCCTCGTAGGCCGCTTGCGCCGCAAGTTCCGGGCTCAGCCCCGCCTGATTTCAATTATAAATTATATAAATGATTAATATTCATAAATTATATTATATTATATGGATTTTGAATAAAAAGTAAAAGTAAAAGTATAATAAAGTGGGAAAAGGTACCTTGCCGCGAACGGTGGGAAGCCCGAGCGCGGGCTGGGCACCGACGAACAGGGGCTCGGCGGAGGGGTTCACGATTTGGAACTCGAGGTAGGACTTGTCTCCGCCGCCGATGGCCTGGCGCAGCTTGGCCAGGCTGGTCTGCACCAACTGGCAGTTGCGCAGGGCGATCAAACCCAGCGGCTCCTCCTGCAAAATTCCAGTCAGCTTCGGGACGCAACCGCACGCACTGCACTACTAGGGAGGGTAGCTGTACGAAATCGGGGTGGAAGTAGGCGAGGTGGCCGTTGGTGTACAGTCTGAAGGCGTACTTCGCCCAGCCCGTCCTGCAAAAGGGGGAATTGAAGAGAGTTGAGTCAATCGCTCCTCTTAGGGGCAACCACGACACACACGCACGACACACGACACACAACACACGACACACGACACACGACACACACACGGCAAGCGCTGTCGCAGTTCTGAAAAGGGGGCGTACTTGGTTTGGATTTTGAGGGTTCCCTCTTCCACATATCGTCCGCCGGAGGCCACGAACGCGTTGGCCTCCTTGGCGGGCGCGGAGGAGACGTCCGCCTGAGCCTCCTTGGCTTTGCCCTGCTGGAGGGCAACTGACATCAGCTCCCGCATCCATGCACGCAGGCACGACACGACACGACACGACCAACGACACGCACGCACGCACGCAGGATCTCTCTGGAGACTCGTGTACCTCATCGGACATGTGGCGCTGGTGCAGCAGCGGGCCGCTATGCCCACGACCTCGCGCTGGGCCAGGCATAGGGGCGGAGGCTGCTGCGAAGGAGACCCGCTCCTTGGCAGGGGCGGAGGTGGGGGTGGGGGCAGGGGCAGGGGCAGGAGTGGTTGACGCCGTGGTCGAGGTGGCCACGCTGCTGCTGGCCTCGTCCTTCTTATGGGGCGAGTGGTGGTCGCCCACGTGCTCGGCGTGCCGCGCGGTCTCCTTGGCCTTGGAGCTGTTGTCATCGCTTTCGTTGTTGTTGTTGTTGTTGTCATCGTCGTCGCTGTTGCTGCTGTCATCTGACGCGCAGGCGACGGCGGTCATCACATCCGAGGACTCGGCGGTGGACGTGCCCTCCTCGTTGATGGCCCCGAGTCCCTCCAGCGGGTCCGCATCCTGCATGGTTTTTTCAAACAACACGACGCGCGCTGGCCGGTTAGCTCGCTCCACACACACACACACACACACACACACACACACACACACACACACACACACACACACACACACACACCGACAGCTGGACGAGAAACGGCCGGGCGGCGCATACCGACTCCTTGGAGGCGAAGCGCAGGGCTAGAACCCAGCCTGGAGCGCAGAAAGGAATGTAAGATATGTGCATTTAAAAACAAAAATAAGTGATGGGCGGGTGAGCGTACGTTGGGTGTCCTCGCTGCTGGTGACTCGGAGCGTGCAGTCGTGGGCCTTGCCGCGGTGGTGCGCCAGGGCCGACGTCAGCTTCTTGCCCGTCAGCGAGTGCGTGCTGAAGATGGGCTTCTTCTCCGTGTGCTCGATCTCGATGCGCTCCTGAGTGGGGGTGGGGGTAGCAATTGAATTAATTTTGACTTAAGTTGAAGCGCCACAAGCTTCGCTGTCTTACCTCGCGTTTCCGGTTCTTCTGCGACAGAACCGTGCGACACTTGGACAGCACCACCAACCCGTAGCAATCGCCGAGAGGCTCGTCCTTCTGTATAATTCGTTGTCGTTAAAAGGGATTAGTTGCGCGTGGCGTGTGTGCGGTCGTGTGCGATGGCGTGTGTGCTGTGTGATGTGTGCGTGCGTGCGGGCTTTACGCGTACCTTGTGTGGCTTGTGGTATGCCAGAATGCCGTTCTCGTACAGGACGAACCACCGCTTGTGCCAGATGCCCAGCGATTTGATCTCGAGCATTCCCTCTTTGATCGGCTCCTGCGGGGGAGAAAATAGCATTTTTATGTAATTATTCATTTATTCATTTTCCCACTCGCGGTGAGCCACGCCCAGCCGAGTCTAAGGGGAGGGGGGGCAAGAGTACCTCATTCATTTTGAGGTAGGGCGACAGATCGATGTTGTTGCCGTTCACTGCACGAGATTTGATGAGCACACGCACACGACCGCACGACACGCGCGCAACAGATGAGAAACGGACGTACGTGTGGAGGTATTGGGCGGAGGCATGGAGCCGAGCGAGGCGGTCTTGGAGCGCTGCCGCTCCTCCCTGACCTTCTGCTCCTTCTCTTCTCTGAGCTTCTCCTTCTCCTCGCGGAGCTTCTCCTTCTCCTCCTTGCGGTCGAGCTTTCGCAGCAGCTTGGACTTCTTCGCGCTGGCGTCGCCCGAGGCTTCGCTTTCCACCCACGGGTCAGTCAACAGCATGCGAACCGTGATCGTGCCTGTCGAGCGGCGCAAGTTTTCAATCATGTGTCGGACGTGAGCAATGTACGACATTCGGGGAAAAACGACAACCACGACGCTGAGCGGTGTGAAGGAAATGAACAAATAAATACCCGTGGCGGGAACGTCGACCATGTTCGACCGTCTGGCGATGCCACTAAGCTTCGCGGTCTGCACCACAGCATTTCCTCGCACCAGGCACTTGAGCGAGATGATCGCGGAGCCCTAATGAAGATTGTGCATACGCGATGTCAGACCACACACACATACACACGACACAACACACACACACACACACACACACACACACACACACACACACACACACACACACACACACACACACACGACACACACGACACACACGATACACACATGACACACACATGACACACACAATTAGGGGAGGGTAGAAGTACGAGTGGCTTGTTGTTGCCCACTTTCTCGTGGTCGAAGACCTCGAGCAGGAGCGTGTCCTCCTCGGGGTCGCTGACGTTGAGCGAGAAGGCCTCGTTCCACACGGGGTCCACGCTCTGCGCCACCCACCGCGTTCTGACGCGCTGGCCGCCGACCCGCACCTTGCAGAACGGATCGGACAGCCCTGGAATTCGTACCACACAAGCATCGCATGAGTGCCGTCTGTGTCGTGTGTGGCGCGTGCGGCGAGTTACCGTTTTTGTTGGAGCCAACGAGGCCCTGTGCGGACTCGACCTTGACGTGCAGCGCGTAGCGGTAGTCATCCACTGTCTCTTCGGTAATGGCCGAGAAGCCGCCGTCGAAGGTGAAGTCTGAGACCTGTCTCTTCACAGAGATCGTTCGATCCGCGGAAGAATGCTGCTTTGTGTGTTAGCCATGACACACACGACACACGACACACGACACACGACACACGACACACGTACATCAGTGGAGTGGAGGTCAGACTGGCGGGTCTTGAGCGGCCGAGAGAGCGAGGAGGAGCTGCGGACGGACGAGGACGAGGAGGTGACCGAGCGCAGGGAGAGCGAACGCGACGAGATCGTCCGCTTGGGCAATCCGGGCAGCTTCGCCCGCTGCGTGGCGGCGGCCATGATCGACTGCACGTACTGGTTGAGCGGCATCGCCGGCAGCTGTACGCTCGGGGTCTTCTCCTTCCTGTACCGTACCAGCGCGCCCAAGAACATCAGCTGTGTGTCGTGTTGTGTCGTGTTGTGTCGTGTTGTGTCGTGTGCCGTGTCTGTGGCAGCTCTGCTGCGCGTAGCGCGGCGTGGGCCGGTGAGCAGACGCACGTTTCGGTGGACAGGCTCTCTTCGGGGAAGGGGTGGCGGCTCGCCCTCACGTCAGGGAACGTCGGGTCCAGGCCTTGGGCACGCCATTAAGAATAAAGAATTAAAAATCTAATCAATTCATAGAGTTGTGTAAAGATGAAGGGGGTGTCTAAATAAATAAAATTACAATTATTATTATTTTGATTAATTGAAAATTAAAAACGTAGTGTACCAGGGCCTGAGATGATGCCACCCACGACGACTGGGATGGAGGTGAGGGAAGAGGTCATCGATGGAGGAAGAAGAGAGGCGGAGTCGGACATCGGGTTGGTGGATGAGGTCGTGTTCGTTCCATTCTCGTTTCCTCCATTCTCGATCTTTCTCCTGTTGGGAACCGGCAGAACGAAGGCGACCACCACGAAGGCCACCATTGCCAACAGGCCCAGCACCACGCCGAGCAGGAAGACCACAACGACGCCTAGGGGTCCCATCGCTAATCGATTAATCTAATCGATGCTGATGATGAATTCGGGGATCAATAGTGCCGTCGGTTCGCTTGTTTGATGATTTTCTTCTGCCCATGCAGGCGTGCAGTTGCGGGGGGCAGTCGTACAGATGAGCTTGGTGAATTGAGATTGGAGAGTTTGTCTGTGAGGCAGTAATACTGCCGCTCTGTTGCTGTGCAACGGAGATTTTATTTTATTTTCGTCGGGACTTTTTTCACACAAGAACACTTACACACGGGCACTCTCGGCGAGCCACGGGCCGATGGTCACCGGCACCAGTGGCGTAACGGAGCTGCGTTTTGTCCCCGAAGCGCAAACTCAAACGAGGCGATGGCGTGATTGTTTGCGGGCTGGTGTTCTTTGCCTCTTAATTTTGGCCACATTGCCTCTTAATTATGTTCCCACAATAGTTTGCAACAAGCACACTCTCAAGGGCACTTGCAATACAATGCTTCGCCACTCGCCCGCAAGATGGACAACGCTGACTCGTCTTCTTCCCCGTCGTCGTCCTCGTCGACGTTCAACCCCAACAGGGTGGCCACGAAGCCCACCCTGACCTACTTCCCCACTGGCGGACGCGCCAAGGTGGCCCGGCTGCTGCTGGAGGACGCCGGCGTCGACTACGACTACGTGAGCCTCGCCGACTGGCCCCAGCAGAAACCGCAGCTCCTCGCCACCGGCACGCCCCTACCAAACCGCATGACACACGCCGCACACGACACGACACGCACACGACACTCACGTCTGATTGCTCGCCGCACGTGTACAGGCAAGCTGGCGTTCGGACAGGTGCCGCTGTACGAGGAGCCGGGCTTGACGCTGGTGCAAAGCGGCGCCATCGCGCGCCATCTGGGCAAGAAGCTCGGGTACGCGGGCGCCAGCGACCACGAGGCGGCGTTGATCGACGCGGCCTACGAGGGCGTGAGCGACATCGTCAACCGGTTCGTGGCCGTGCTCGGCCTGCCCGCCGAGCAGGCCAAGACCGAGACCGAGCGGCTGATGAAGGAGTATCTGCCCCTCCAGCTCGGCTACCTCGACAAACTGCTCGAGAAGAACGGCAACAACGGGTTTCTTGTCGGCGGTCAGGTGCGTGTCGTTTCTTGTGTCGTGCGTCGTGCGTCGTGCGTCGTGCGTGCGCTGTGTCGCGGACGTGTGCTGTGACTTACCGAGGGAGCGGACCGCCAGTTGAGCTACGCGGACGCGGCGCTGTTCACGATGCTGCAGAGCGCCTTCCGGAGGCCTGGCGCGGACTCGCTGGCCGCGCAGTTTCCCGCGCTCAAGGCCTACCACGACGGCATCCAGAGCAGGGACCGCATCAAGCGCTTCCTGGCCACCGACCCCTACGGCACCTCCGCTCCCGCGCCGAGCAGTGCCAGCACCTCTTCGTCTGACGTCAAGGAGAAGAACTGACTGATTGACTTCACGGTGAGCTGTCCTAACATGAACTCAGGATTGGACACATGCATCTCGTCTAGGCCTTGTTCGGGGGCGCGTCGCTGCTGCTGCTGTTGGCCTCCCGCCAGCCACGGAAGCCGCCGGCGAGGTTGGTCACCTGGAAGCCGTTCTTGGCCAGCACTCCGCATGCCAGAGCCGACCGCGCGCCTGGGCAGAAAGGAGCGAGCAAGTCAGTGCCAACAGAGCATCTGAGGCGTGCGTGCGTGCCGCGTGTGTCGTGTGTGTCGTTTGTCGTGTGCTGAAGATTCGGGATGGGCGCATGACGTACCGGAGCGGCAGTAGACGAGCAGCTTCTTGCCCTTGAGGCTCTGCAGCTCATCGGTGGCCACATCCCTCATGACGCGTCCTGCGCGGGAAGCTGCCGGTTCAACACCGAGATCTGGGTGGGTTGCGGTGCGAAGCTTGTCCGGCAGACGTACCGAGCGTGATGGTCTTCGGGGTCCCGATGACGCCGGCCGCCCACTCATCCGGTTCTCGTACGTCCAGCAACTGCGTGCGCACCCAACAAAAACGAGATAAGCGAAATGTAACCGCCGGAAGAGGCCCCGCAACAACGCACAAGGTCAAAGTCGGGTAGGTGGGACTTGGCTTCGGTCGCCTGCAGCACACCGAACGCGGGCGCCTGGTCACCGGCAGGCGAGGTGGCCAAGAAGCGGCGGCCGAGTCCGCCCGTCACCAGGCGCGCGACGTTGTGCTCACATGCTGTTGTGCACAGCATCAAAATGTGCCAGACAAAATCTCAGCAAGCTTGGTCTTTTGAGGATGAGGAAATGATCCGGTGGGTACCTGGACGTCGTTGAAAAAGGGAGCTGCCGCTCGACCGAGAGATGAGGCGACTACGCTGCATTGTTGTTGTTGAAAAACGTTATGCAATAAATTACTTAATTGTTTTCTTCTCTTTCTTTTTCTGGCTGTCCTAGCTTTGGGTCTTGCGTTGAAGAAGAGGGCCATGACTTGGTGAATTGTGCCTTCTGAACGAGCATTCAAGTTGAGTGGGGTGGTGGTGTTGTTGTATGTGATTGAGAGATCACCAGCCACAAAAATTGAAATCCAATTTTGCATTAGCTCGTCTTCAAGTTTCGTGGTATTTGTCGAGGATACGAGAGGATGATGATGTATTACGCCTGCACTCTGATTATGTACATAAGGCGAGGATTGTCGAATGGTTACGCGTTCAGGCCGTGACTGCCGGACGGCCCGACATGGCGATAGTTGAAGGCGAAGATGAGAGTCTTGCAGGGGTCTGGGTCCTCGTGACCTCCACGGCCCACGAGTACTTCGTCCCTGGTCCCCTCTTGCGACGTCTATGCTGCTGTGCCGACGGATTGGGCGGCGATGACTGGCGAGCGGTGCTCACGGCAGATGAGGGAATGCTGATTGCGCGCGTAGGGGCAGGAGGGGGCTCGTCCTCTTCCGACGCAGCGGGGATGGAAGCGGGCTGCGAAGGCACGTTCCTCATTCGGACACTCGTCGGGCGGCGCTCCTCCTTGATGGGGACGGTCACCGAAGGAAGATTTCCCATTCCGAGTATCGCGAGATGGGGAAGTAGAAGGTGTTGAAGTAGATGTTGTTGCAGATGAGTGTTGTGTAGAGGCAGAGCCGAACTCAAGGGTTCCCGAGGAAGAAGTGGTAGACGAGGATCGGTTTGTGCTTAGGGCGCCAACTCATAAATGCTCTCCTGAACTGAGGGGAGATGAAGAAAACAGCCTACCTCTCTCTTTGATTCGATTCGCGTCGAAGAGAAGTAGCTGTTTGATTCGTCTCGCGTCTAAAAGTGCTGGGTAGTGGGTGCCGGAGGGGAAGCTGAAGAGGACAGCGGAGGTGGGGTGCGAAGGGGCGAGGTGAAGTGAAGATCGATTCAGAAGACAACAAGCGCTCTTTCGCAGCCTTGACGATTTGGCATGCCTGGCAAAATAGGGGGATTAAGGGGTTTTGTCTACAAATATGCGCGAACCGTTACCGCCAACGCTTCCAGGAACCTTCCGCCGAAATCTTACAGCTCCTTGAGGTTCGAGTTCAAATCCCGCCAGGTGACACAAGTGTGTTCTCAGCAATGTAAGATAGTTCTTGTAATGTTCCTCGGCGGATTCACGTCGGCACGTTAGCCACCTATCGGGATTTGTCGATCCTCTTTGTGGTTGGCGCAACAAATTCCAGCACGTATCGTCTCGCACTACTCTCGTCTATTGTTGCCCAAGTAGAAGAAAGATCAACCAGAAAGCCAGAGTGAGCGTGAGGAGGGCCTCATCCCCGGCCATCGTTCCACCACCCTCCGGAGCCAAAGACAGCCTTTGGACACAAAAAACGAACAGCCACGTCGACAGCGCCAATTGGCTGGGTGGTGAGCACCATCATTGTGCGCAACCCTCTGCCTTGTTTCTTGAGCCTCGAGCGGTGTGACAGAGACATAACCGAAAAGGCCCGGACTGAGCACCACATACCACCACATAGAAGCCAACACCACACCAGAGAAAGCACGAAAGAGGAGGAAGAAAGAAAGCGAAAGAAAAAAGAGAGAAGACGACACCTCACTCCGCCTGCTCTCAACACTGAATCGAAAATGCTGGCCACGCGGAAGAAGCCGGTCGACGGCTACCTCCTCAAACAGTCGGTGCCCAAGCCCTCCTCGTCCTCGTCCTCGTCCAAGAAGGCCAAGCACCAGGAGCAGGCCGGCCTCTTCAGGAAGCTCTTTTTCTCGCTGGACCGCGATGCCGGAGTACTTCTATACTACACCTCCCAGCAGGAACACGCCAACGCCTCTTCTTCTGCCGCTTCATCTTCGTCCTCCGGTGGTCCCGAGGGCTCCATCCCGTGCGCACTCCCCCACTTTTTCTCCGTCGCTTCCCTTGTACTTTTATTTATTTACTTATTTACGTAAAAACAAATGATTATAATTATAAACATAAGTGAGTGGCTTATCTTTTTACAAAGTATTTATATTTATTTGCATCGCCGCACCCTGTGCACGATCGTGTCGACATCACTAACGCGACACCTCGTGCTGGCCACAACTGTTGCTGTTGTCTGGCGTGACAACTTATCACCCACCAACCAACCACCTGCAGACTACTCGACATCGAGTTCGTGGAGGAGCTGGCCAAGGAGCGGCCGGCGAGGGAGCTGTTGCTGCAGGCAGAGCCGACGAAGAAGGACAAGAAGGACAAGTCGGGCGAGCACGGCGCTGCCAGCGAAGAGCCGCTACCGAGGAATGCCTGGCAGTGGCCCTTCGTCATCCACACCACGAGCCTGGGCACCCACCTCATCCTCGCGCCCACCGCAGAGGTCAGGGACAACTGGGTCGTCAAGTACGCACTACTTTCCTTTCTTTTTGTTTTGTTTTGTTTTATTTTATTTGTTTCCACCATTTTATTGGCCGATTTCAAGCCTTGTGCGCGAACAAGGCTTCGTTCATTGAATGGCTCGATCGAAGCAGCACAACGGTGTCTAACTTCTTCTTCTTCTGTTGGTGGCGCTACAATCACTGTAGCTTGGAGGAAGCGATTGCCGAGACCAAGCTGCGGGCGAGGAAGAGTAAATCCAAGAGCCAGAGGCTGGACGACCCAAATGGAAGGTTACGGTACAGCACGACACGACCAACGACACGACACACACGCGAAGCACGCACGACAACACATGTGTTGGAGGGAAATGGCTGTTGACGACGTTTCTCTGTGCAGGTCGGAGTCGGAGGTGCAGGCGGACTTCCTCGACATTCTCGTGTTCGACTCCTACGTGCACGAATTGCGCAAGAAGGAGAAGACGCCCGAGGAGGCCGCTGAGTCCGTCAGCCCGCGCAACGCGACCTACCACTCCATGCCCCCTCTGTCGCCGCTCAACCTGGTGCGCATTCCCTTCTGACGATGACTCTATGCTCTGTGGATGCCCTGCGAGCACCGGCTTACGCAGTTGGTCTGCAGAAACCGCCGCCCAAGGTCCCTTCGCCGACATCGTCGCGTAGCCCGCGTTACGGCGACATCAACAGCCCGAGGCCGCCCTCCGAAGCGGCCCAGGCGCAGCGACCCGAGGCCGAGCGGTTGACCCAGAGCCAAAGTTCGCACCAGAGAGCTTTGGCAAGGCCGAGCGCGCCGCCAGCGACCAAGGAAAGCCACGGCGAAGGCGGGGGCGAGACGGGGAGCGAGATTGGGAGTCCCGGCGCCAAGCGAAAGGGTTCGCGTTCGCAGACGGTGTGGCGCAAGGAGGAGCGGAAGGGCAATGCGGGCGCCCTCGGCGGCGGTACCGACACTCCGCCCAAGCGAAGGATCGGCGTGCGGGAACGGGTCGACAGCAATAATAGCAGCAGCGTCGACGCCGAGACGAGCGGCACGCGGCCGATACGCAAGACGACCAGCGAGGAGACTGTCATGACGGCCAAGTCGTCGCTGGCCGCCCAACATCAAGAAGAAACAACGAAAGCGACACCGACGCCGACGACGGTGGAGCCAAAGAGCGAAAACGAAGGCGAAAGCGACGCCGAAACAGCGAAGGATAGGGCTCAGGTGCCGAAGCGGCTGTCGGCGGGGAAGCGGATGTATCACACGGTGCGCGGACCGCGTTTCCGGGGGAAGGAGGAGCATGCGGAGGGCGGAGGCGGCTCCGGGTTCGGGCTCAGCCTGCATCGACGCAACCTGAGCATGGACTTCCAGACCATCGTGCAGGCCTCGGCCGCCGAAGCTGCCGCAACTGCCGAAAACGAAAACGAGATCCAGAAAAAGAACGAAGACGAGATGACGCTAAAGGGCGAAGCGAAGAACAACACGGAAAAGAGCGAAGAGTCGCCGCCGCAGCAGCAGCAGAGAGTGGATGAACCAGTGCAGCTTCGCGAGAACGTGGCGCGACGGCTCGCGCACGCCAAGGCGAAGCTGAGCCGGGAGGCGGCCGACGACGACTCCTCCGAGTCTTCCGAGTCCGAGTCCGCCGCGGCCGACTCTGAGTTCGTCGAGCAGATGCACTTCATGCAGCGACGGCTCTCCGTCATCTACAAGCGGATGAACGATATGGAGGGCGACTTCTTCGCGCAACAGCAACCACCGCACACGACCGAGCCACACACCGAGCCGTTGAACGAATCGTCGTCGCCCGACAGGCCGCGCAAGACCCGGAAGAAGCAGCTGGCGAGCAACAACACGGCGACCGCGACGCTGCTGAGGAAGGAGGACCAGCAGGCCGTGCGGAAGGACCAGGAGATGCTGCAGGCGGTGGTGCGGCGCGAGGCCGTGTGCCGGCGTCTCCACAAGCTTGTCGACAATCCGATGGACCACGACGTGCAATTCCTCATTTCGCGCGACACCTCCACCCGGCGGGTACGCACGCTACACAACCCACGACACACGACACACGACACACACACACGACACACACGACACACGACACACGGCACACGACACACGACACACACGGAACACGACACACGACTTACAGTGGTTATCGTATGTTCAGATCATCTACGGGCATCGGGCCATCATTCGAACGCGAAGTTCGTTCTTTGACAAGCTGTTCACCCAGACGTCGGCCTCGGGAATGGATCCCAAGGGGCCGTACGTGATTCCGGAGACGACGCGGGAGGCCTTCATCGAGGTCCTGTCCTACCTCTACTCCGGCAACATGAGCCTCACCGTAGACAACGTTCAGGTTGCCCCCCCCCCTGGAACTCTTTGCGTGCGTGCGTGCTTTGAATAACTCATCGTCTTTGCGCGCAGGACGTCTACAAAGCGGCCGCAACCCTTCGGATGAAGGAGATGAAGGCCGCGTGTCGCCAGTTCGCCTCCCGCAACGCGGTCACCCTCCCACCGCGCCCCACGTACTTCCCGTCCCGTGTTTTTGTTTGTTTTTGTTTTTGTTTTTGTTTTTTGCGTCTTGTGAACTCGTTTGATTGATTGATTGTTGTGCAGATCGTCACCGTACCACGTGGCCAAGCGACAGAGCGTGATGGACCTGTTCAAGAATGTCAACTTCGAGGAAGCGCGGGCCGCCGCTTTGGCCTCGTGCCCCCAGCATGAGCCGCAAGGCGTGTCTGCTGTCGCATCCACGCCCGCACCGGCGCCGGCGGCCAACACCACCGACGACGGTGCCGGCGGCGAAGACTCGCCCAAGTCGGGCGGCAAGTCGCGGTCGAAGCGCATGTCGCAGGGGCTGGCCCGAGTCAAGAGCGTGCTCAGCATCGTCTCGCCGCGCAGCTCACAGCTGGTGGCCAGCCAGGGCGACGACCAGCCCTCAACCCCGACGAGCAGCGTGGAAGACGAACGCGAGGGAAAGAACGAAAACGAGAGCGAAAGCGAAGGTGGCAGCGCCGAGGAGGACAAGCTTAGAACGTCGGGCGGGCTCAAGGGCAGCTTCTTCTCGCGATCGGGCAACCACTCCAAAACCAAGCGTACCACCAAGGACAGCTGAGCAAAAACGAGAACGTCACCAATAATTTGAAGATTTCGCAAAGTTTTTATTGGTCAAGAGTGTGTCTTTGTTCTGATTGGGAACCACCATCAACTGCCCGGGGTGCAAAGACCCCAACCTCAGCGTGACGGTCTATGTGTCCGCCTTCTTCGTCCTCTCGGATGCCTACACGGTGGCTCACGTGGAAGAGATAGACTGCGGCCACATATGCCCTCCCAACGAACTAGAGTCGGAGCTGGAGACTGATCAAAGAAGGCGATGATCTACGAACTGTGGGCGAGAAAAGAGCAGGAAGAGGAAGCGGAGCGGGAGGCGGCGTACGAAAGAGCGCTCGAGAAGGCATTCGAGCGTCTAAAGCAACTAAAGCAACGGTTGAAACCCCTCACGGGCGATTTCGTGACGCCCGCCGACCTTCGCACCAAGGTCGTCGACGCCATCAAGGCGGCAACTGAGTCCATCTTCGTCCTGGTCTACACGTTTTACGGAAAGACAAATCGTTGATGCCTTGTTGGCGGCACATGACCGCGGCGTCAGAGTGTGGGTCATTGTCGACCTCTCGCAATGGAAGAAGACCCCACGGATGCAACACGCGATGACGCGCCTCACGCAGGGGTCAATCTCCGTATTCAACAGCCACCTCTTCGTCGCCGCCCTGGGCTCTTTCTCACTCTCCATTAGGTACGTATGTCGGAAGGCAGAACTGAAGCGGGCCTCATGCACCTCAAGGTCATGGTCGTGGATTGCTTCCTGGTTGTCAAGGGGTCGTACAACTACACCTGGGCAGCCAGCGAGATCCACCACGAAGAACTCGACATCAGCTGCAAACCAGCGCGCGCCAACAGCTGGACTGAAAAGTTCGGTGAGCTATGGCAGCTTTCCCGCGCGCCAGCGTAGTCAACCATCTCGCGTTGTAGAACCTTTCTGCAGCACGCAGGGGGAGTTGCGACAACTAAAACCATCACCCACTTCCTTGAATTTGGCTTCACTCGCTTCCCTTGGGTGCTGAGTCCTCGGGGTACCGCAGGAGCACGCCCTCGAGCGCCAATCCGGGGCCAAAGCTGTGGTCGCAGGGTGGGTGGATGAGTGAGACGGTAACGATGTGGGCGGTCGCAGTGGTGAGTGTGGTCGGTGGCAGGACGTACCCCATGCCGACAACCCAGGGGGCAGTGGCCTCAGTGGGCCTCTTCTTCCGGAGCTCGTCGAGCACGAACAGGAACGTGGCGCTCGACTGTCGCGCGACACGAGTCAGACACACTGCCACTCACCCAACAACACACGCGCGCTCCGCCCAACAACGCGCACACGCCACCGCACACACCGCACACGCGCAACACAACACGACGCACCATGTTGCCGTAGTTCTTGAGCACCTCCCAGGAGCACTCCGTCTGCCACCTCTGGAGACCGAGCACCTGCTCAATGCCCGCCAAAATCGACTTTCCGCCCTGCACGAGACCGACGCACACACGCAACACACGACACACGACACACACGACACGCGCACACGGTCGAATGAGTGCCGTTGGGAAGTCGTCGGTGGGGGGAAGGAGGAAGAGCGTACGGGGTGAATGGCCCAGCCGCACTCGGAGAACGCGCAGCGCTTCTCCAGGATCTGGTCGGCAAAATCGGGCGTCTGCGACTTGAGCGAGTCGGGAATCTTCTGCGACAGCTTCATCAAGAAACCTGCGCGTGCGCGCGCGCACACCAAACACACACCAACCGAATCAGACGCGCACGACACGACGCGCACGGCACACACGCATGACACACGCGCGGTGTGCACGCGAGACGAACCCTTGTCGGAGGCTTCCCAGGTCATGAGCTCGGGGGTGTGCTCGAGGATGCGGGACTTGGTGCCCTCGATGATCCACAGGGTCTTCTCCTTTTCCGTCGGCCGCGCGCCCACCACCACCGAACCCGACCCGTCTCCGAACAGCGCGTTGCCCACAAACGTCTCCAGGCACAGCTCAGCTGCACACCACGCCCATGTCAGCTCATACATGCGTGTGCGCGCGGGCGTGTGCGTGTGCGGTGGTGCGTGTGCCATACCTTGGAAGTGGATGGAGCAGATCTCTGTACAAACGATGAGGATTCGATTCTTCGCGTCCTCTTTGGCTGCCAAAGAAGAACACACACGAGAAATGAGAAGAAGAACACGACACGACACACACGACACACACGACGCGCGAGGCCTGGATGCGGGTGTGGTGGCGGAGTACCGAGGGCCTTGGCGGTGGCGAGCGCTCTGAAGGCACCGAAGCAGCCCATGATGTTGATGCCGAGTCGCTCGGCCGTTCGCGGGATGCCCAGCTCCTCCATCACGTAGAACTCGATACCGGGGGCCTGAACTGGAGTCCGCCGAATCGAGCGAGTGAGACAACACACGACACGACACGACACGACACGCACGACACGCACGACACGCACGACACAACGCGGCATGACACGACACGCACGACACGACGAAGCGGTAATGTGTGCGCGCATACCGCCGGTGCAGGAAACGGAGATGATGTGGGTGATGTCCTTCGCGTCGCCGCCCCAATCCGCCACCGCTTTCTTGCACGCCTCGATCGCCAGCTTGGGCGCTTCCTCGCAGTAAGCCCTGAAATGAGTGTGTCGTGTGCGTGCCATGAGTGCCGTGCGTGTCGTTGGTCGTGTCGTGTCGTGTCGTGTCGTGCGGTGGTGAGTACGCACTTGTTGCGCACGGTCATGGTGGGCACGGAGTTGGGGAAGTCCTGGGGCAGGATCTTCCATTCCTCTCTCGGCCTCACCGGATCCGCCGAGCAGAAGTAGCGCGTGTGAATCTCGGAGCGATCGGCCAACTGAATTCGCCGAACACAGTTCGTCAGCCAACACGGCACACGACACACATGACACGCACGACACGACACACGACACACGACACCGCGCGCACCTTTTGCAGGGCCTCGACGACCTTGGGCTGGGAGTCGAGCTGGAGCGACTTGATGCAAAAGTCGAGGTACTGCTGCGTGGGCACCTCCTGCGGCGGCACGGCGCGACCCACGCCGAGAATGCAGGCCTCCTTCTTGCCCTTGCGGGGCACACCACCGTTGGCCGCTCCGTTCTGCTGGCCTGCGAGAATGAACACAAAAGGTTTGAAGATATATAAATAAGTAGGAAAATAATTGTATGAGATAATAAATATTAAGTTTATCGAATAACAAGGGCAAGGAGCGCAATGCGTGAGAGGTGTTAAAAAAAATCCTTATTTCGATTCTTTTAGGCCGCCTGGTCCGTGGACGATCCCATCCATTTTACAGGTAATCACTTGATCTTGTGCGCATCTTGCATCAATCGCGCCAACAGCGGGTATACCTTCTGACTCGGGTCCTAGGCCGTTCTGAGGTTGTTCGTCCGCCATTTGTGAGATTGTGCGGTTGTGGCTGTGACTCTTTGGTAGATCCGCACTCAAATCTGCGGCGAGGTCTTGTTATTGATGCTTTGTGTGTGCTCTGCGCCGAGTCCTGTCCCCGTGCGGTTGGTCATACCTACCCTTGTCTTCGTTGTTGTGGGCTTCCGGTCACCTAAAATATTCAAAAAATGGCACTTCTATGCACTCTAAAATGTTTGACATTCCTACGTAAGTGTGGGAATGCTGGGAACGCCAGAGTACCGGCGCGGTGTTACACCCGAAGACGAGGAGGTGAGACTGTCTTCCGCTTCTCTGCTTTCTTTCTCACCTTTCCAGGGTGCCGATCAGAGCCAGCAGGCGATGAAGGTGATGAAATGGTGGTGGCTGTAACAGTCTTTATACAACAATGGGAGAACAACTGGCGTCTCCTCTCCGGCCTCCTCTTCCTCCTCCTCGCTCTCGCACAACAATGTCTTCGGTGCCTCTTTACAGGTTCTCGTGTTCTTCTTTCTTCCTTCCTTCCTCCTCGTCCGCTCCTCCTTCCTCCCGACACGACTCTCTTTTCCTCCCTCTCGATCCGCTCTCTCTCTCTTTCACTTCCGCCTCACTCCTCACTCCGCGCTGTCGTGACGATGTGTTGTTGTCGGTGGTGGCTGGCAGCTCAGTTCTTCTTGTCCTTCTTGGGCAGATACTTCTTCTCGGCCTCCTTGAGCTCGGCGTTGTTCTGGAGGCGGAAGACCTCGTTGACGGGCGCGATCTTGCCCTCAACGTTGATGAGGCTCTGATCGGCGTAGATCTGCTTGCACGTCTGCTGCATGGCCGCCACGCTCGCCCTGTTGTGTTTGTGAAAGATGAGATGAGCGCGTGCTACTACCACTACAACACATGCAAGGCCCGAACGTTACCTGAGGTTGTGATTGGCCCAGATGACGAGGGACACGCCCCAGTCCTGGAAGTCCTTGGAGGGCGTGGTGTAGTACTTGGTGGGCACGATCACGACCGGGGTCTTGTTGCCGCGCTCCTTCCAGGCCTTCATGAAGGCCTGGATCTCGGACGAGTCCGAGCGCTTGGAGTGGCACAGGATGGCGTCGGCGCCGGCCTTGGAGTAGGCCTCGGCCCTCTGCATCATGTGGTCGAGACCCCAGCCGGCGATGAACGACTCGCAGCGGGCCACCACTACAATCAAACCATCAAACACATCACGCGTCAGCAAGCCAGCAACCAGCACTCACTCGGATGTGAACATGAACAAGACGATCAAGATAAGAAGAGAAGAGAGAAAGAGGGAATGTAGGAGGAGAGGTCCAGCGGATCGCCGATGGAGGAACGGCGACCCGCGTAAGTGAGGACCCCCAGCACTCCGGGTCATTGTAGGCAACTTGAATGGGTGTACGATCACACTTACACGACGGGGTCGTAATATTTCGCCCCTTTGTCGTGTCATCCTGTGCACCAAAGTGTGTTTGCCATGGTGGACTCGCTCGTGTCGAGCGAATCGAAAGAAGTAGAAAGAAGAAGAAGAAATGGAAATGGAAAAGAAAATTGAATGAGGACAGAGATGGGAGGTAGAGGGTACCAGAGAAGGCGTCATCCTTCTGGGCGTCCTTGCAGGCCTGGATCTTGCCGCAGAACTCGTCGATGTCGGCGAGGGGCTGGCTCACGCCCTCGAGCAGCGAGTTGGTCTTGGGGAAGAGCTTGTCCTCAATGCACACACCGGCGACGCCCCTCTGCTCCAGCTTCCTGATGAGACGCCTGGCGTTGTTGAAGTTGCCGTAGCCAGTGTCGCCATCAAGCAAGATGGGGATCGAGGTGTTGTCGCTCATGAATTCGAGGACCTACACGAGTAGAATGAAAGATCGAAATCAGTGTCAAAAAGATGCGATTTGAAAGTAGAATCATGGATGAAGAGACGACGAGCTGTACCTCAAGAACCTGAGTGTAGGACGCTTCGTTGCTGTCCCTGACGCCGAGCTGGGCGGAGATGGACAGGCCAGAGCCCCAGATGCCCTTGAAACCGGCCTCCTCGACGATCTTGGCGCTCAGGCCGTTGTGGGCCTCCATGATGTACTCGAGCTGGTTCGACGTGAGCATGTCGCGCAGCTGCTGGGCCTTGCTCTGTGCGCACGCATCAACGTCAGCGCAAATTGCGTCAACGGTTCGGTATGATTTTCAAGCGACTGCGAGCGAATGGACGATCATAGTGTTTGATTGTTGAATTGACAGTGTCGGCCTTACCTTGGTGGAGGCATTGCGGCTGGAGATGACGGCAGTGGCGGAGGCAGCCGGTCGGACAAGGCCGGAAGCAGTGACAGTCGAAGACGTGAGCCTGACGGCAGACGTGGCAGCGACAGAGGAGGAGCGGCGGGCCAACATCTTCAGTCGGTGTGTTGTTATGTGTGCTGTGGTGTGAAGGTGGGCGTGGATAAGAAGACAAGACGTGGCGCCGTGACGGCGTCAAAAGGCCTGGCCGTGAGTGCTGCGCCTCCGGGACATAACTCCCAGCAACCCACAATAATTTGCGGCACCTTGTACCAACCGCTGACATTCCAGGCGCGGGGTTGGGCTCCTGGGACTAACGGACATTGCCGAAGAGTGAAAAGAAGAGGAAAAACATTTTCGCCCTTTGGTATGGAAAGAATGTGAACGAAAAAGGGAAAAGAATAGGTTTGACGGCATACAACTAGTTACCTCCAGACACTGACAACGACCGCACAATGGAACGCACGCTGCTCGTGGTCGAGTGCCAAGCCAACCTCAACTGGTATGAGATCTTCGCCGGCGCCAAACTACACGTAAGTAGTTTTGTGAACAGTTCAGTTTCATTGAGCTGTTGTTTATTTCTTTGTTTTAATTTTACTTCATTTTTTAATTGGTTCTTTTGGCGCACAGGGCGAGGAGCTGAAGGTGGAGCAGGCCGAGTGGGACGACATCAGCGTGATCTCCTATAGCGACGCGGGCGTGGTGGCCACCCTCCGCCGCGCGGCCAAGCCACTCAAGGACACCCCGCAGACCACCGACCGCACCATCACCGTCGACTTTGTTCTCCTGCGCAGCGTCACTCGAGGAATCAAGGTGCGTGTGCTTCGTCTAGCGTGTGTCGTGTCGTGTCGTGGCGTGTGGTGTGTAGTGTGTTGCGCGTGTGTTGCGCGTGTGCGGGTAGTTGTGCTCACATCCCAGATCCAGGGCCAGGACAGCCGCAACAAGCTGTTCGCGATGATGCACGCCGGCCTCGGCAGCGTGAACTCGCTCCTGAGCGCGTACATGTGCCTCGAGCGGCCCACCGTCTTCGGCGAGCTGCGCAAGATCCAAAAGTGCGTCTCGCCGCCCATAGCCTATGAGGTGAAGCTAATTCGCTGGGTGTGTCGTGTGTGCCGTGTGTCGTGCGTGTCGTGTGTGTCGTGTGTCGTGCGAACGGCTCGTGTGTCGCGTGTGTCGTGCGTGTGTCGTGCTTGTCGTGTGTAGGCGGCTGGGCAAGGACAACTTCCCCGTGATCGAGCAGACCCTGTACGGCAACCACAGGGAGATGCTGATCACGCCCGACTTCCCGATCGTCGGCAAGGTCGGCCACGCGCACGCCGGTACGCCCACGACCTTCGCCCAATGACCCTGGCGTTGATTACTAAAATAATATAAATACAAATAAATAAACACAAATAAAGGCTACGGCAAGGCGAAGCTGAACGACAGCGAAGCGTTCGCGGACTTCCGCTCTCTCTGCGCTCTTCACGGTACTTCCTCCCCCCAAACGGCCTCCATTCATCATCACGCTTGCTCAGCTCTGACAACGCCCTCTGCTGCTCCACTCCAGGCGATTACGTGACTGTCGAGGTTTGTCGTGTGTCATGTATCGCGTGTCGTGTCGTGTCGTGTCGTGTCGTGTCGTGTCGTGGTTCGTGCGAGTGCGGTGCGGCTGATGAATTCAACGCTTGTGAGGTGCAGCCGTTCATCGATTGGGACTGGGACGGCCGCATCCAGAAGATCGGCCCCTACTACCGCGTGTTCAAGCGCGTGTCGATGAACTGGAAGGGCAACGTCGGCAACATGTCCATGATCGAGGTACACGCCGCCCCTGATCCGTGCACGTCGTTGGTGGTGTCGTGTGCGTGTCGTGCGTCGTCGTAACCACGGCTGACTGACCCCCCCCAACAGGACATCGAGATGACGCCCCGGTACCAGAGGTGGATCGACGAATGCGCGCAGCTGTGGGGCGGCCTTGATATCTGCGGCTGTACGGCGCTGCCCCCGTGTCTCCGCGCCACGCTCAGTGTGCGCTCGCTCACACTTGCAATTCCCTTCTCTAGCGACTTTGTCCACAGCAAGACCGATGACAAGGAGTACATCCTGGAGCTCAACGACACCGCCATCGGGTAACCACACTTCTTCTTCGTTCTTCTTCATTCTTCAACTCACCACACCCATAGACTTGTCCACGAGCACGAGCTGGAAGATATGGGCCAAATGCGCGATATCGGTTCGCCCCCCCCCCCAGAGACCACCCGCTTCGTCTTCGTTCTTTCTTTCTTCTCTCTTCTTCTCTCTTCTTCGTGTTCGCGAGGCTTCACTCACCCGGCCCTCTCTTTTCCACCCACGATCAGTGCTCCTGCGGATGTCGGCCGCGTTTCCGCCCAAGCCCAGCCCCGCTGTCGCCGCCGCGCCGCCCAAGGAGGAAGAGCCTCAGCCCAAGAAGGAGAAGAAGACCAACAAGAAGGAGAAGAAAGAAAAGAAGGAGAAAAGGAAAAGAAGGCCCACAAGAAGGCCGCCAGCCAGGAGGCCGAGCCCGAGGCCGAGCCCGAACCAGCGGCAAAGAGCGAAAGCGACGAAAAGAAAAAGGAAAAGACGGACAAAAAAGGAAAGGAAAAGGCGGTTGGTCAAGAAGAAGGAAAGGAGGAGGAAGAAGAGGAGGGAGCGGCCCTGTACAGGGTGAAGCTGCTGGAGGAGAAGGTGGCCATGCTGGAACTGGCGCTCGCGCGGGAGAAGGAGAAGAGTACCGCCAAGGACCACAAGAAGGGCAAGAAGGGGAGCTCGCTCCTCAAGCTACGCAGCTGAGACCCCCAGGGTCCTGGGCTGAGGGCAACCAGCTGGTTGGTTGAAAGTTAAAAAAATAAAAATATATTCATATTCAGCCAATGATAAAAAAATGCTAATGTAAAAAAAAATCGAGAGCGATTGGTTGCTGAGATAAATATCGGTCAGATGGAGAAAGCCTGGGTGCTCGTGGTGTAGCCCCTGGGGTCGTAGCGCACTTCGGGCGTGAGGAAGTGCAGCTTGGCCACCCACCGGCCCCGCGCGGCCTCCAGCGGCAGCGTCCACTCGAACCGGTCCTGCAGCTCCGGCTGCTCCTGGCCGTTGTGGAGCCACGTCAGCACGTAGCGCTCGCCCGTCGTGGGCGCGTCGTCGGTGGTGGTCGCAGCGGGCTGGCGCTTTTGGCCCAGCGGCAGGGCGTGGAGCACCGCGCTGGCGACCTTGGCGTCGGTGGTCACGTTGACGCTGTCGATGAGCGAGATGCGCGACAGCAAGTTGAGCCACATGCCCTCCTGCCGCACCACCAAGCGTTGGCGTGAGTGCGACACGCGACACGGCACACACGACACACACGGCACGCGCGTGCGACACTGGAAGAAGGGTCGGACCAGGCAAACAACGCAGAAGTGAGGCGACGACATGTTGCGCATGAGGCAGCGTTCGTGGTCTGGCCGGTAGCCGACCAGCGAGCCGCCGAGCTTGTACGTGTTGTACGCTCCTGCGCGCGCACGACACAGCAACCGGTGAGAAGTTGTCCTTGCCTGTCTGTCTGTCACCAACCAACCCAACCAATGCTGTAGCAGCCGGTACCGATGTAAAGAGGGCTGCACACGCACGACACACACGCGACACAACACGACACACGAGTGCGGTTAGCGAATAGAATCGTGTGTACGACACATTGACGGGGAAGGCGAACTCGGTGTGGTAGTGGTCCTCGTCCATGAGCTCGGTGAGGACGTAGTTGCAGAGCTGCAGCATGATGCCGTCCCGCGCACGGCCACCGCTGCCGCCAGCCGCCGGCTTCTTGCCCTCGGCGAACTTGAGCACATGGGGACCGCGCGTGAAGCCCTCGTCACTGAAGATCGACGTGAACGTGCGGTCCAGCGTACCTGTATCGCACACATCAGCATGCGTGTGTGTCGTGTGTGTCGCGTGCTGTGCGTGTCGTGTCATGTGACGTGTGTCGTGTTGTGTGGGTACCGGCGCTGTTGAAGGGGAGCTCCTTGCCGTCGAGAGTGATGCGCACCGAGTCGGCAGTGGGCGCGCCGGAGATGGAGTAGGTCAGAAGCCACCGCTTGTAGTTGCCCGCCGAATCGAACTTGATCTCGAACGGCGCGCGGCTCAGATTGTACCTTTCAATCATTCGCACATCGATCGATGAGCGCACGACACGCGCACACCGCACACGCACACACGCGTCTACGTACCACGCGTGCTGCTGCAAGAGAAGCTTCGACTGCTGGGCCACGAGCGGCTTCGAGGTGTTGGTGAGCCAGTGGGTCCACCCGACCGTGCCGAGCGATCGAGCGTGATTGACGCCAAAGTACGCCGTTCCGCCGTCGTACTCTGCGTGTCATTTCGCGCGTGTGCGGTGGTACGTGTGTGCGGCGTGTGCGTCAGTTGTGCGTGGCGTGTTGGGAGCTCAATCGACATGCGCGCACCTTCGCCCACGTAGATGAGGTTGTGCCCGAGTTCGTGGCGAAGCACGATGGTTCCGCTCGTGAGGGAGCGCGTGGAGATCGTGAACTCGCCGCCCAGCCCGCCATAGTAGTCGTCGTTGCCGATGAGCGTCGGGAAGTCGCTGCATTTTATGTGTTGGTCAACAATCGCACACGCACGACCGCACACGCACGCACGCACGACCGCACACATGCACACGCGTACCAGGCATCGGGGCCGACCTCACGGCAGGCATCGCGCGCGGCCTGAGGCTTAGACGTGTAGATGCCCCGCAGCTCCGTTCCATCACGGTACAGCCCGAAGGCCGTGTTCTGTCATCATCATCACACAGTTAGATGTCGCCGCACACGCACGACACACGACACAAGACCACACGACACACGACACACGCACACACCAACCTTGGGTTTGCCGCCGGAGCCGATGCCGGAGTCGACGCTCGGGCGAAAGACGGCCCAGATGTTGAAGAGCGGGAGGTGGGACGCGAAGGTGGTCGAGGCGAACATGTCCTGCACCAGCCGCTTCATGTCCCCCACGAACCGCTCCCGCTCCGACTCGGTGTAGCCGTCGCCCTGTTGCGCGGCCGACCAATCAGCAATCTATGCGTGAGTCGTGTGTGCGCGTGTCGTGTGTCGTGCGTGCGGTGCGCGTGTGTCGTGTGCGAGAACCATGAAGACGAGGTCGATGCGGTTGCCGGGCGGGCCGCTCTTGACCAGCTCCAGGATCTCGTCCTTGTTGGCAGGATCGGAGTCGGCGGCGGCGGGCGGGGGCGCGACTGCGGTGAAGTCCGCGTGGGCCAGGCAGGGCAGCCGCTCGCGCGCGAAGGCCATCACCGCCGCCTCCGTGTGGCCGTAGAAGTCCAGCACTTCGCCCCGCGAGGCCTCGTCCTCGCCCACCTGCTCCACGTCGTGGCTGTACGCCTCGGGCCGCCTGCAAAAAAGAATTAGATAATTAAATATAATCAAATCAATATAAATACAAATTAATTGAAATTATTTATATTTAAAACATAAATTAACGGGGTGGTACGTGAAGAGGAGGACGTGGTGGGCGTCGGTGAGGCCGCGATGGGGCTGGCCGTAGTCGGCCGCCAGCACCACGCACGTCTCGTGGGCCGACGAGCCAGAGTCGACGGCGCCGGGCGTGCCCCCGCGGCGGAGTAGTACGCTCAGGCGGAACGAAGGCGACCGCTGCCACTCGGCGTAGCTCTTCGTCGTGGGTTTTGCCTCCGTCGTGCATATTAACGCCACCAGTGCCAACGCAAGAAGCAGCAGCGCCACCCCTCTTCCCTCCATCTTCACGTTCACCTGTCCTTGTATCGGCGCGCACAAGTTTTTGTCTTGTGGGTGCCGAAGCTGCCGACGAACATTATTCGTTTGTGCGGACAAGGTAGTCGACAAATAAGGTTCCGCGTATTTTTATTTTTGATTTTTTAAAGATTTTTTTTCACATCTTGGCGGAGTGGTCGGCCAGAAGACAGTCGGCGTACTCGGGGTGGCGCGGTAGGAAGTCGTCGCGCACGTACCAGCACGAGGCCACCACCTTCACCTTGCCCTCCCGCTTCACATGCTCCATCGCTCCCTGTTGCACGCCATCAACCAGTGACTTCCCGTCCACGCGTGTGTCGTCGGTAGTGTCGTGTCTTGGGCGTGTGCGTGTGCGTGCAGGTGTGCGTGTGTTGCGTATGTTGTGTGCGGTGGGCAGTACGTTGACGACTTGGGCAGCGAGACCCTGGCCACGCTTGGCCGGTGGCGTAAAGGTGTGCACGAAGTCCCACACCTTGCCGCCCTCCCGCTCCTCATACTCGAGCAACGCTTGGTCTGCACCCAAGACGTAATAAATAAATAAAATGTGACTTCTTCAGCACACGAAAGAAGGGCTGGGGCGATACCTCCATCTTCGAAGGTGATGGCAAATTTGTGTTCCTTGGGGAGATGCACAACCTGGTGCTGCTTCTTGGCAGAGGAGGAGGAAGAAGAAGACATGGCCGTGCGATGAGGAACCACCAACAACCGACTTGTTGCCCTGCCGGTAGTAGTCGCTCGCAACAGCACCTGACTAGATCTGCGCATCTACCAACTTGTGCTCTTTTCCTCTCTTTTTTCTTTTCTTTCCTTTCCTTTCCTTTGCGGTAGTGTGGGCGATGACACGCTCCGTGACGGTGCAACACTGTTGTTGTATACAAATATTGTATTCGAATATACTATGTGTCAATATGTTGAATATGTTTATGTGCAAGTGATGGCGTTGGCGGCGAGACCGCTGGCCGCGTTGTTGAAGTCGCTGCTGTTGTTGGCGGTGTTGGAGTCGTGCGTGGGTCGGACCCACTTGCGGAGCATGTGGGCCAGGTTGGCCTTGGTGAAGGGCTTGGCCAGCCAGTCGTTCATGCCGCTAAGGAAGCACTGCTCGCGGTACTCCTTCGTGGCCGACGCCGTCAGTGCTATCACTGGCAGCGGCCGCCTGGTCGGAGTCAGCTTGTGCTCGCGCTCGCGGATGCGCTGTGTGGCCTGGAACCCGTCCATGACCGGCATCTGGCAGTCCATCAGCACCACGTCGAAGCCGCGGTCGTCGGTGTCGTCGTCGTCACGGTCGGCCGCCGCGAGAATGCGCAGACACTCCTCGCCGTCGACCGCCACCTGCACGCTGCAGCCGAGCGAGGCCAGCATGCGCACGCCCACCTTCTGGTTGACCAGGTTGTCCTCCACGAGCAGGACGCGCACGCCGTGGAGGCTCGAGTCGGCGATGGGGGACTTGGCCGGCGCGACGGTCAGCGGCGAGGGGATGAAGGTCGACGAGCGCAGGCCTGTGGTCTGCGGCCTGGTCGGGCTCACGGGCGAGCCGGGCGCCGAGCCGGCCGGAGACTGCGAAGCCTCGGCGGCGACGGCGGTGGGCTCCTGGGTCGCGGCGGGCTGCTCAGCGTCGACGGTAGTGGGCTCCACCGACGCCGTGGCTGCGGTGGCCGCTGTGGTGGTCGTGGTAGTCGTGGTGCCGGCGGGCGCAGCCACGGGCAGCACGACCGTGAAGTGGAAGGTCGAGCCCTTGCCGGGATCCGAGCGGCAACGCGATCGTGCCGCCCATGGCGTCGCACAGCTTCTTGCTGATGGCCAGCCCGAGGCCCGTGCCTCCGTTGCGCCTTCGCGCCGAGTTGTCCTCCTGCGAGAAGCCCTGCAGTGTTGGAGTGGACCAATGACAAAAAGGTAAGTGATTGGTGATTGGTGCTTTGATTAAAAGGCGAGGTGTGAACGTACGATGAAGAGGTGAGGCAGGTGGTCGGGACCGATGCCGATGCCGTTGTCGGCCACCTCCACGTTGACCTCCTCGGGGTTGGCATCGGAGTTGGCCACCGACACGCGGATGCGGCCGCCGTCAGGCGTGAACTTGATCGCGTTGGACAGAAGGTTAAACACGATCTGCCGGAAGCGCAGCGGGTCGCCGACGTGCGACGGGTGGGCCACGTCGGCCGTCGAGGTGTCGAGCTCGATCTTCTTCTTGGCCGCGGCGCCGGCGAGCACGCGCACGGCGCGCTCCACCTCGTGGACGACGTCGAAGGGCAGCTTGTCGAGCAGCAGGCGGTTGGACTCGAGCTGGTCAAAGTCGAGGATGTCTTCGATGAGCGAGCGCATGAGGCGGCCGCACTCGGCGATCAGCTGGCAGCACTCACGGGCGGCCTTGTCGAGCGGCGACAGCGTATCGAGCAGCTCCAGCGCCGTGGCGGTGATGCCATGCAACGGGGTCCGCAATTCTGTCGAACAAGAAGGAAGATATATATCAGTAAGATAATGATCAGATATATGTGGATCACACTTATAAGCGAGATATAAAAAATGTTGCACTGTATCTCCGGAGATTTTGATATCCAATCACGCGCCCAGAACACGTTAAATTCTGTCGACAAGAAAAGAAGTGACGGGCAATTGGCCGAAGAGAAGTGTAGCTGCGAGCTCGACACGCTGGCGCGAGGCGGTCTGACATAGACAAAATGAGAGAAGACAGGGCCGCGTACCGTGCGACATGTTAGCCAGGAACTTCTGCTTGGCTTCGCTGGCATCGCGCAGCTTGTCGTGGGCCTCCTCGCAGCGGGCAAAGACAGCGCGCAGGCGTCGGTGCGCCCGGGCGCGGGTCCGCTCGCCGGCGTAGGCCAGTGCGCCGATGCACACCAGGGCCGTCACGTTGCTCACCACCTTGAGCACCGGACCTGCATTGATGTTAATGTTGTTGATGATGTAGGTGGTGAGTTCATGCGCTTTTACAGAACACATAGATGCAGAAGTAGTAGAAGAAATGACGCACCAAGGCTCGAGTGGAGCTGGGCTGCGGTGGAGAAGAAGGAAGTGGAGAAGATGATGGACTGGAGCGCTACGGCGGCAGTGGCGTAGAGGCCGCTGCGGCCGCCGCAGACGAAGAAGACCAGGAGCGGCCCATAGATGAGCCAGGCGAAGAGATCAGACGAGCCCAGCTGGGTGCCGCCAGATCCCATGAGGGCGAGGTAGAGGATGAAGGCGTTGGTGGCGCCTGCGAGGCCCGCGGCGACGAGGGGGAGGTCGCGGGTGACGTAGAGAGTCCACACGAGGCCCAGCTCGATGGCCATCGACATCGCGCAGGCCGCTACGACCCACAGCGACGAAGACGAAGACGGGGATGTGAAAGTGTAGAAGATGGATGAAGAAGATGCGGAGAAAAGGAAAGAGAGGAGACAGAGAAGCTGGAAGCAGAGAAAGAGGCTGGTGGTCAGGATGACAACGAGCCACTTCAGTCGTAGGTCTTCATCGGTTTCCGCTACCACCGAAGATGGCGGTGATGTTCGTTTGGTTGTCGAGGAAGGAGATGAAGAGGAGAGGAGAGAAGAAGGGAGTCGAAGATGAGGAGGACATGGAGGCCGGGACGAGTAGGTCCACGCCCCTTCGAATCCATCGTTCCATGAGTGAATCCTCATACTCCTCCTCCGGAACCGACGCCGTGTGTGGTGGGTGGTGGTCGGTCATCGTGTGTGAGTGTGTGGAGAGATGAAGTTGCTGACCCGCTAGCTGACGAGTCGTCTATGTAAAGCTGCGAGTTCGTTCTTTCCTTGGGTGTTGTTGATTTAGTCGGTCGTTGGTTGAGGGTGTCTCTGCGGTACGGCGAGACGTGGGTCGAAGAGAAGTCTAGAAGTGACTGATGGGTGGCGCCGCCTTCGTGCTGCCGTTTTATGGCTGGCGCTCTCCGCTCGCTCTCCGCGGATCGAGACGCGCAGCTGGGCGGCTGTGCGGCCAGGAGCGACCCGACACACGCACCGAGGCGTGCAACCGCGGTTCTTTCTGCTTCCAGGCGCACGCGCGGCGAGGATCACTCTCGTCTCTCTCGTCTCCCCTCGTTCTCTCCAAAGGATTTCAAACTATTTACCGTAATTTTGATTCCACATTCTTTGAAATCCAAAAATCGGTGCGTGAGTTCTGCCTGCAATCTCCGAGATCGCGGCTGGTCGTTCAGGCCGGTAACGAACCACACGAACTGCCGGTGAGGGGTCGGTCCGAGGTCGCCGCCCGCTTCGGTCCGAAACGGGGAAGGAGAAAAGAAAAAGGAGGAGAGATAGCGAGACTTCAGGGCAAGGCGGGAGGCTGGTGGTCTTCGCGACCTGGAGCAGGGAGATCACGACGGCGACGACTATGACGACCATGATGTTGATGCCGCCGAGGCAAGCGGCCGAAGAGACGGGGGAAGGAGAGCGAAAGCGGGACGAGAGGCTGGGGGAGGGAGGAACTCAGCGAGATACACATTCTCTTCTGCTACTACAGCTCTCTGGCGTGTACATCCCACGCTTCCTGTAACGAAACAATCAAGTGAGGGGAGGTGTCTTGATGCACGCACGTCGGCACCAACGCTGCCTTGTCTGCGCCCCCCGGGGCACACCGCTTCTGCCTTCAGTAGGCGAGGAAAATTCGTGGTGAGTGTCAGTGCTGTCATCATGATGAAGGGGACGCACCTTGGTGATGACATGCGCGTGCGACACACGGGAAAAATGATGGCAGCCATTGGTGCAGTTTCAGGTTACCCACCGTCGCACTGCAGATGGGCTTCTTCACCAAACAAACAACACTCGTGAGAACTAAGTGATCATCACGAAACCTGTGGGAGGGCTGTGAATATTAGGGCGTTTAGTCTGTTCTTCTCTTTGAACTTCTGTACACGTAGAATAACAAGTGTCGCACACAACGCGCGCGTGCGAGATGGTGGAACTGTACGCGCTGTGTGTGTGTGTGTGTGGCAAGGGCGCGATGATGGCTCGAGACGACACGCGCCACTACTGCAGGACGCAGCAGTTCCACATCTGGGGTGGCATCTGCAGGCCGTCTTGGCCCACGCCGTAGTAGTTGCTTCCTGCCGCCGCAGCCGGATCGCCGTCCTTCCACGGGTTCCTCTTCTTGGCGCCGCCGTTCTCCTCCTCGAACCTGTCCATGACGTCGAAGTCGTGCATGAAGTAACCCTCGGCCATGCCCTCGTTGAAGAGCTTTTTCTGTTCTCTCTTTCGCTCCTGGTCTCGCCACCTCTTGAGAAGCTGCACCTTGTGTCCGTTGATGAACGACCGCCTCCAATTCTCATCCTGCGTGCGGTATGAACGAATGTTAGTCGAACGAAGCTCTGAAAGCGACTATGGTGCACACAGAAAGCGAAGCGGTCAAGTACCTTGACGTGCGGATACTGCTTCTCGGCGCATAACCGCTCCCACACGGGGAGGGACTGATATGTGACGAGCTTGA